ACTATTTTCTTTCAAGTCAAACATATTTAGGATATAAAAGAAAAAATATTAAGAAAATTAAAAACGCTTAATCAGGAGGCCATTTATTTATTACAAGAGAGATAAAAATCTCTTACTAAATTAAAGTGATAGTGGTTACAAATTAATTCAATAACGAAAAAGAAATAAAAACAACAAATTTTTATTAAGAATAAAACTCTTTTAAGAACTCAACGTATAATAAAAATAAATTATATTAAACGAATTACCAATTTGAATTTCAAAAATAACTTTGGAAATGCTATAACTTTACCAATTTGAATTTCAAAAATAACTTTGGAAATGCTATAACTTAATTAAATTTGATTTTGATGGACAAACAAAAATCAAGTCCATAATGAAAACTACAAAGCAAATCATGTAAGGATCCAATATTAATCACTTAATGAATTTATTCAAGTATTTTATTTCTCTATTGTTCTAAGTTGCAAATTTAAAAGAAATAAATAAGTTAATTAAATAATAAAAAAAAGATTACATAAAAGAAACGTTATATCCTCTCCAAATAAACCTATAATTTTTTCTACAACCATAAAAAAAGAAGAGCTATACTTTTTTCTTTTTTATTACAAAAACTTGTTTTTTTAAAAAATAAAATTTAGAAATTATATCCAATCAAATAATAAAATATAATTTTTTTTCATCTTAACCACAGGAATCTCGAGTCTACTAGGTTAGAACTAAATTTTGCTTGCACTAGGTCACACTAAGAAGGGATAAAGTGCTCCCGGCGAGTATTTGCTCTATTCATAGAGGATTGAATTCTTGACCTCGCCTAAGGTAGAAGAGTGTTGAACCATTCATCCAAACACTCATTGGTATAAAATGTAATTTTCGAATTGGCTACGACTAAGGCTATTTTAGGATATTCTAAATTCTATTGAAGGTGATATTGAAAATTTCATTATTTCCACATTTATATATAGTATAGATAGATAGTAATTTACAATATGACTGTATAAAATATCATAGTGAACTTGTAAACATAATTGTAATTGGATTCCGCTGCCGTAATTATTTTCTCTTAATTGGTTAAAAGGGCCCAATAACTGGTATCAGAGCTGATGCCCAAAAACTAGTATCAGAGTCGATATCCTAACATTTTATTTTTAGCACTTAATGTTTAAGTTCTAATGCCGCGTCTCAGGTATACATTAGAATAGTTAGGAAGAAAAAACTTGCTGATACCTAATGTATGAGACGGTCTATGTATCAAGCCAACGGAAAGTGAGTTTTCTAAAAAAAATTATTAATGTTTTAGAATGTATTTAGGTAAATGTGGACTTGTTAAAAAATAATGTTTGCCAGCAAAAAATAATTCCAAATTTATATATTGGAATGTATGCATTTCATATTCGTGGTACCTCTCCTCGGGACTCAACGTCATTTAGTTCATGTAGAACAGTAGGAAATAGGAATAAATTTGCTGGCAATGGTGGCCCATTTTAGAAAAAGAATCCGAAGCCAGAGCATAGCTTATTGATTCTGCTTTAAGAAAGAATATTACTGCTACTACTAAATTCGGTCCCATAGGCTTGGCCACGGTTCTAGAACCGACAGTTCCGGTTCTGGTTTGGAACCGTTCGGTTCCGGTCCGGTTACGGAACTGACGGTTCTGATCGGTTTTTCGGCGAATCGCATAATTTTAAATTTTAAATTTTGAAGATCGGTTTAAAAAATTTAATAAATTTGTGAAAGTTATTTGTAAAAAAAATACACTTAAAAATTAAAAAATACTTCAATTAAATTTATTTTTTTAAAGTTGAATTGTTGGTGTTGACTAATGATTTTTTAAAAAAAAATTTTGGAAACTGAATTCTTTTTTTTTTAAGTTTGAACAATAAATTTTAAATAAAAAAAATGGGCTTTTGAACTTAATTTTTTTTTTTTCTTAATTTTTTTTTAAAAAAAAATTAAGTTGCCTACGTGTCTTCTTGGGGTTTAGAGGAATCAAAATCCACGTAGTTTTTACTTACTTTATACCAATTTCATCCCTTTTACCTTAATCGCTATTTGCACAACCGGTTGATGTTCCGTTGAGGACCTATCGTATAAATCATATAGATTTTCATTTTCTTTTAAATTTTCTTGTGCTCTTAGTTCGGTCTTACTTCGATCATCCACGCATGATTGTGTTTCTAACGAATCGGGTGTCATACGAGATCATGTTTCATCAAGTATGTTTCCTCCTTGACAAAAAGCTTGTTTAACCGCAACAGTGGAGACCGAAGCCAACAGTGGAGACCGGAGCTACTAAAATTTGTTTTGCAAGTAAAGAAAGAATTGAAAAAGTATTTGCGTGACGACTCCACCAATCTAAAATTGGAAAATCTGCATCAGCATAATCATCACCAAACTCAAAAGAAGTTGTTAGATAATTATCAAATTCAGAAATAGAACTGGATTCCCTTGTTCTTTTTTGTCTTTGCAATGAAACTTATTGAGCAACACCAACACCACTTACCCTTTATGTTGAAAATTGTGGAATATTAGATTGAGAAGAAGTAGAAATAGAAGTAGATGAACTAGAAACTTGGAAACAAATTCATTATATAATTGGCTAATATTTTGTTTTAACCTTATTCGCACTAGTACATTTATAATTAACCATTATCTTCTACCATCAAGATTTAATAGCGTCATATAAATAGTCAAATAATCACATAAAAACATCCATTCTCACATCTAAGGATCAAAATACAAATAGTAACAAGATAAAGTGGTGGTATATTTTTTAAAATAAGGAATAACCAATTTTTTTTCATTGAAAAATACAATTCTTTTAATAAATCATCATTTTGAATTCTTGGAGTGCAGTAACATATTAATACACATAGGTTAAAAATAAATTAGATGTGGGGATAAATAAAAACCCCACTAAATTATAGGTAACATCATTTAATAAATTTTTAAAAATATCTTAAAATTTTACACAAATCTCCCAATTTGGATATAAATTAATATCCTCAATATTATTAGTAACAAAAAACTAATAAATTTTTAAAAGAAAAGACTCGTTTAGTAATTCATATGTTGAGATTCCCAACGAGTTTGGGACATCCTTTTGAAAAAACCGTTTTGGTCTTTTATTATTTTCTTTACAAAATTTATGCCCAACTTTTCATCCACTTGGGGAATGTGGTCCAATAAATATGAAATAGCTTTTTTAATTGGAGAAATAAAGAAAATCAAGAAATTTTCAAACCAATCTTGTACACATAAAATTTAAACATGGCATGCACATCTTATATGAAAAAATTTACCACCAATATTTGGTTCACAAATTTTTTTAAGTTCAATAATTGATCTAGTATTTGCAGAAGTATTGTCAAATGAAATTGAAAATTTTTTTTTCAACCTATATTCATCTAAAATTGAAACAATTACTCTATAAATATTATTTGCAGTATGTTTATCATCAAAAACACGAAAATCAATAATTATTTTTTGAATTTTCCAATCATCATCAATCCAATGACATGTAATACCCATATAAGAATGCATTTGCCAATGATCACTCCAAACATCACAATCCAAACATAACAACAAATTGAAACATGAATTTTCAAATTGAGAAATAAAAGCTCTAACTCTTTTTTTCCTTGTTATAATAAAGAAATAATAGTTCGTTTTAAAACAGTATTTCTTGTACTCTTTTATGCAACAAGGATTTAGCTTTTTGACAATAATTATAAAAAACCTATTTTTTCACCAAAACTAAAAGATAAATGTTCTATAGAAATCATTTTTGCTATTCTTTCTTTTTGTATTTTTCAGAATATTAAATAAAGAAAGGTTAGAAGCGTACCCGGAAATTTGTTGTTGAGGACGATCAACGCCTATTTTTGTTGGATGTTTTTGGCCTCCAAATGCTTCCAAAATGATCCACTAGCCGCCCGCTATTTAAATTTATAGATTTTTTCAACAATAATTGTAATTGCAAATTATATCGTACATTTTCTCACCTTTGAATTTTTTTGTGAAATGAATGGAGAATATGTCGGAACTTTATCTTGCTCTTGTAACAATTTTTGCTCGTAGCTCTTGCTCTTGCTCTTCATCTTCTTAAAATTGCTCATTAAATTCGGATTCTTGAGTTGGAATATCCAAATTTTCATTTGGAAAACCCTCAAAATTACATTGGTCGGGAATCATATCATAGATGTCGTTTGTAGGAAACCTACTTTTTCACCAAAACTAAAAGATAAATGTTCCATAGAAATCATTTTTGCTAATTCTTCTTTTTGTATTTTTTCAGAATATATAAATAAAGAAGGTTAGAAGCGTACCCGAAAATTTGCATGGTAAGAATATAGAGTAGAGTAGAGAAGAATAAATGATTAATATAGAGTAGAGTGTAGTATATGGTAGAGAGAGTAAGTAGAGAGTGTAGTATATTGTAGAGAGAGTTGAGATGTTTTTGTAATGAATTTGTAAATAAAATGAGGTATTTATAATAAATCCAAAAATTCATTTTTCTAAAAATACCCTTGAAACTAGCCGTTATGTAGCCGCCGTTATATAGCCGTTTATGGCTGTTGGGAGGGTAATTAAAGAACATTTCACAACAAATTTATAAAAAAAACACTGATTTCACAACAAATTAAAAAAAAAACTGCACAAATCTGACAGTTACAACGGCTACAACCGCCGGTTCGAACCGGCGGTTCGAACCAGACGGAGAACCGGCGGTTCCAGTCCGGTTCCGACCGGTTCACTGGAACCGCCGGTTCTGGTTCCTCATTTGCTGGAACCGGAACCGAACCGAATTTTTTCGGTTCTGGTTTCGGTTCGTCCCGGTTCCAGTTACGGTTCCAGGCCGGTTCGAACCGACGGTTCCGGTTTCCGGAACCGTAATATGGCCATGACTAGTTTTACCATCAACATCGTAATTTTGATGTGGGAGGTTTAAATGCATCCACAAACAGAACCACGTCGTTTTAACTTAGGGTTGTACAAACAAAACAAAAAGAAACTATCAACTCAACATCTGACATTCTCAAAAACGCCGCTCCTTCTCTCCTTCTACTTCACAGTCATATTGTTCTATACTTTCCCGTCGCTTCCTTGCGTGGCCATCGCCTCCGCAGCTTCAACCTTGGTACCGGCTAGGTTAACCCATCTTCATTTTTGATTTTTTTTTTTATTTCGTTCTCCATTTATTTATTTTCGTTCTCCTTCGTCCATTTTCTTTTTTTTTTTTATATATATATAAATACATATAAACTATATAAATACATATAAACACACAAAGAGGCGGAATTGTTGAATATATTATTGAATTAATCTGTGGTTTCAGCAGAGAAATATATGTTTATTGTTTTATTTTTTTCATTTGTGGATTTTGTGCTTGTTTTATTTGTTATTTTCCATCTAAACTGATTTACTTTTTAGATGAAATTCTTATATTATATCCTAGATGAAAGAGGAGCTTTATTGTTGAATTTATCTTCACTTTCTTTCTTCCCAGATTGTAAATCTAAATCTTGGAATGGGATTAGGCATTTTGAACTTGCTTATTCTCAGTATTAAGCTAGAATTAATTAAATCTAAGGAACATGTGTTATTTTACAATTTGTGTTATCTTGATGATATTTTTTTCTTTGTTATTGTCTCTGAACTCGGCTTTAGGCTTTAGCCAGTTAATTTGATTGTGTTGATTGTTAATCAAATTATTATAATATCAAAGTTTTTATTTATTTTGCAGATTCTTGCAATTGTGGATTCAAATGTTTTCTTGTCTGGAAGAAGATGATGATGATTGTTAGTCCTTGTATGTAGGAGGTTTAAATGAACCCACAAATAAACAACGTCGTTTTAGCTTAGGGTTGCATTTTAACAATACAAGCAAAGATCTCTCAAATCTCTCAACTCAAAGTCTGCGTTTCTCCTCTCCCACCCGCTACCTGCGCCGCTCTTGTTCTCTCCTTCTACAGCCACAGTCTTTCTTTACACCTCCCGTCGCTTTCGTTCTTGACCGTCGCCTCCGCAGCAGTCGTGCTCTTCAAGCGTACAAGAGCAGTCGTGCTCTTCAAGCGTACAAGAGCCAGGTTCGTTCTTGGATTATTTTATTTTGTCCTTCAGGTTTTTTTTTTTTTTTTTTTTTTTTGCTTTGCCTTCATTCGTCCTTTTTCCTTTTTTTCCTTTTTCCTTTTTTTTTTTTTATATTTAAATACATATAAACAGACAAAGAGGAGGAATTGTTGAATTAATTTGTGGGTTCAGCCGAGAAATATATGTTTGTTGTTTTATTTGTTCGTTTGTGGATTTTGTGCATGTTTTATTTGTTGAAAACATATATATTAAAAGGCAAAAGGATGGTGAATATAACCCAATTCGTTGCTATATGAGTGAAATCTGACATCTTTGGTTTGTTAATTCAAAGTTTGATTTGTTAATAATGATTATTGTGTATAGATACTGAGAATGAGATTATTTGCATATAATTCTCATATACTGAGAATGGTTTGTTAATAAAGTTTGGTTTTTTGCTGCTAAAGTTATCTGGCTAAAAGTTATATAATATTATATATATATATTATATGGGATTAGTATTAATGTTGATTTTATATAGGGCTGAAATTTTTTTTCTGACTTGGTAGTGGAGTTTCTGTTCTTTATTTTTATTTTTTCAGATTCTTGGTTCTTTGCAACAGAGGGTCGAATGTTATGTTTATTGTGGGCGGAAGAAGATGATGTTGGTTGGTTTCCTTTGCAAATCTTGGTTCCTTGAAAAGTAGAGTTTCAAGAATTAATGTTTTACATGTAAATTATGTAAAATTTCTTGTGTTTTTATTGTAAAATTTCTCATTCTATGATAATTTGTTATAGTTTAGGATTATTATATTATATTTTAATTGATTTTTAGTTTGCTATTGCTATTATTCTAATTGAATTTTAATAGATGTTTGATTGTTTAATTGAGATATTGGTTTGAATTAATTATTTAGGTTGAAGTTCGATTCTTTTGTTCTATTTTAACATTACTATGTACCGTTGTTTTAGATTATTACATGTACGTTGTTTTATTATTTTGAAGTTGAATTTTAATGCATTTTTTATATTTTTTTATTGCACTTGGGGTTCGGATTCGGGTTCCATGTGGGCTTGGGTTTTCTGGATTGAATAAACTTGTGATTAAACGGGTTCGGGTAGTATGTGGGTAATTCTAAACGGATTTGGGATGGGTCTGGATATTATTAGTTTATTTCTTAACGGATTTGGAGTTGGAAGTTTATTTTTGGCGGGTTCCTGCCCTGCTGCCAAACCTAGTCCTGCTTTTCAACGGTAGTACCAGTGCCAGGTTCCTCCATTTCCAATCTTTTTTTTTTTTTTTTAAAATTTCGTTTTCCATTTATTTTTTTGTTCTCCTTCGTCGCTTCTTCTTTTTTTTCTTTTTTATATAAATACATATACATAGACAAAGAGGAGGAATTACTGAATATATGTTTATTGTTTTTATTAATATATGTTTATTGTTTTTATTTGTGGGTTTTGTGCATGTTTAAGCCAATTAATTTCTTGAAAATATATATATTAAAAGGCAACAGGATGGTTCATATGAGCCAATTCATGGCTATAGGATTGAAATCTGACATGTTCAGTTTGTTAATGCAAAGTGTGATAATAATGATAAATATTGTGTAGGGAAGCTGAGATGGTCAAAGAAATCTTCTGGTTCTTGCTTTTAAGTTTTGACCTGTTTATTCTCTGTATTGAACTAGACTTGATTAAATCTAAGGAACATACAATCTTGATGATTGTTTTTTTTTTTGATTGCAATCTTGATGATTGTTTTTTTTTTTTTTTCTTTTTTATTGTCTCTTAACTTGGCTGTAGCTAGTTTAATTTGCTAGTGTAAACTGTTGTTTTTATTTCTTATTTTTTTAAATTAGGAAAAATTGTGCTATATAATAATTTATTTGCCTTTTCTGTTAGTCATACTTTTCATGTATAATAATTCCACTATTTATTCTTTATTTTGTCTAAACTGAATTACTTTAGACAATGAGAATGAGATTATTTCTTTTTGATTTAAATTGTTGTTGGTTTTCCTTTTCTATTTGATAATGTTATATATTTTAAATATATTGTATCTAAACTTAGATTTTATTTTTTAGGATATAGTGTCAACATTTGAGAGTATAGATTGCAAAGATTAAAGATAGTAGCAAAAATGATACCAATATGTTGACACCTTCTTATTCTATGATAATTTATTATAGTTTATTATGTTTTAATTGATTTTTAGTTTGTTATTGTTGTTATTGTTATTGAATTTTAATAGATTTTTTGATTGTCAAATTATTTAATTGAGTTATTAGTTTGATTGTATGCATTATTTATTTAGGTTGAATTTTAATTCTTTTGTTCTTTTTTAATATTACTAGTGCTGTTGTTTTAGAATATTACAGGTTGAATTTTAATGCATTTTTTGTTCCATTATAGGGTTCGGATTCAGGTTATAAGCGAGTTCGGGTTTCACGGATTGAATGAATTTTTGATTAAACGGGTATTTAAATTGTTTCGGGTAATCTAAACGGGTATTTAAATTTGATTTCGGGTAGTATGCGGGTACCAATCTAAACGGATTTTGGGGGACGGATTCGGGTATTGTTTGGCTCTATCATTATTTCCTTAACGGATTTGGGACTGGGTCGGGTACTTTATTTAACCAAGCGGTTCGGGTAGTCTTTTTCTAGCAGGTACCCGTACCAACTGTGCATACGCCACCATTCTAGAGGCTTAGTACTCATGCACTCATACAGCGAACGCCCAGCAAAGAATCCAACAATGGATTTTGCCCGAGCGCGAAGTTTCACTATACAGAGACGCAAGCAAAGAATCCAAAAATGGATTTTGCCGAGCAGGAAGTTGATTTATTTGGGGAAGACTACGACGACGATCGAGGAGAAGACAGAGAGAACAATGGGACCCATCGATCATCCCCCTCTTCCTCTTCTTCATCATCGTCTTCCAGTTCATCGTCCTCTTCGGCGGCTTCTTCTTCATCCAAGAGCAGTGATGATGGTGGAGAAAGCAGCACCGGTGGTAGTGGAAGCGGTAGCAGCGGAGGGGAAGAAGAGGAAGAGAATGGTGAAGAACCTGAAAATAATAAGTACTCTAATAATAGCAATTATAGGGATTATAATGATGAACAAGAAGATAGAGATCTTTTTGGGTCTGATAACGAAGATTATGTTAAAACCCTGGCCACTAGTCCTTATCCTATTCCTGGTAAGTTTATCTTATTCTGAATGCAAGTACCCTTTAGTTTGCTTTTCTTTAGATTGCATTGTTTGGTTACTACTGGTTCATAATTTTTATTTTCGCTTTTTCTTCTTCGTTTTGTTACTTTAAGTGAATTCGATGTTCCTTATGGTTTAATTGATTGTAATGAAAACTTTAATATTGGAATTGCAAATAGAAATTAGGATTGCCCTCTGTTTCTTCAGGTTTATCTTTTGGGTTATTCTGTTTCTGTCTGGGTTAGTTTTCATTTTTCATGCTGATTTATTATTAGGGAGTTTTTGTGTTATGTTCAAATTGATTATTTTTTTTATCTGGTCAAACAAGGTTAGTAACTTTGCAATGAACTTTTTTAGTGGTTAATTTGCTTGATTGAACATGTCAATTTGAGTTATAAAGTGCTCTTAAGACATTAAAGTTGAACATCATTGTGTAGTCAGGTGAATATTCTTTAGAACAAGAAGTAATATGGTTGCTTTTGCTTTTAGTGAAGCATGCAAAGCTGCATGTTTGTATAACAACAACAGCAACAACAACAACAACTAAGCCTTAATACCAAAACTAGTTGGGGGAAAGCTGCATGTTTTACTGTGATTAATTCTCACAACTTTGCTGCTTTGAAAAGAAAAAAAATAGTTCTCTCCTTTGTACCTTGTATAAATGGATCGACTAATTCTGACTGCTTTTATACATTTTTCTCTCACTCCCTCTACAAATATTCATTTTTCCTTGGCAAAATCTCTTTTGTAGTGTTACCAGTCATACGCAATAGCAACAACCAGGGTGGTAGAGGGAACTTTGGACGTGGCGGTTGGCAAAATGATAGAGGAGCAGGCCTCCTTCCCCGACCTGGATTTCCTCCACGACAAGGCTATGGCTATGGTTCCAAGTTTTCAAATGGCCATCGTGATGAACGGTTCGTTTCAGAGCTGAAGTTCTCAAAGAGTGAAGAAACATTGTCGAGGAAAATGGTTGCTTTTCAGGCGGTAGGTTTATGTATATTTTGCAATGTATTGTAATACACACACGCACACAAACACACACATATATACTGCAATGCCTCGACCTAGATCACCTAGATCTTAAAGATATTATGATTGGTAGTGTGTCGTTGATTGTAAATTTGAGCTACCTGGGGCTGCTCTTTTATTTGATTTGTTTGCATTATGATCTTGTTTGTGTTACTTTTAGTCATTGGTTAAGGTTACCTGTCTATTTGTATTGGTATATCCAGGGTGATATTTTGATGTATTATTTATTAAAACTTACAAATCATTATTTGCTCTATTGACTTTTTGAATTTAATCTTGTAGCCTTTTGAACTCAGTTGCTACAGTCGTGTAGAAAGTGGAGATGTTTACTTTGATGATCGCAGCTTGGTAAGCCTTTTCTGGACCAGTTTTGCCAATGGGTTCTATTACTTCATGAGGTTCCATTCTTATATGATAGATTGTGTTTATGATTTGCTCATTGATATCACACTCTATTGCACATTGCTAGAGGCTTTTTAAACGTTTTATCTCTGAAGACATTGGAGCTGACCTGAATGAAGGCTTCGATACTTTCATTGAGAAAAAAGGTATGGCTTATGTCTGAAAATTGTAACTGTATGTTTCCACAATTCATAATGAGTTATGATTTGTGGTAAAAAAAGATAAGAAACATCTTTTGATGTAAATACGTCTAGGATGTGTGTCTAATCTCTCTCTTTCTCTCTCTCTCTCTCTCTCTCTCTCTCTCTCTATATATATATATATATATATATACTCCTCTCTATATATATATATACTATATTATATAGTGTATTAAAGGGGGCTACATCATCACTCACTGTGTATACAACTTCTTTATACTGTGTGTTAACATTTTGGATTTTTTGATTTTGCTAACAATTAAAAAACTCCAAACATTAATTTACCAAATAAAAACAAATAAAGCCATTTGGACCTTCCTCCCATTAGAAACTTGTGAATTGAAAACCTAAGCTGGTATGATTGACTTAAAATTATTCTCTTCCCTTGCTAATGATGCGCCATATCTCCTTGTTCTCTCCCCTCTCCTTTTCATCTCAACCTCGTTACTCATCCACTTTACTCTCTTCGTCTTGCCATTTTCCTTTTCTATCTCCATACACCTTCTTTCTAATTTCTTACGAATTCCATCTTAAAAAAATTATCTAGTTTTAATATCAAAGTTGACATTCATTCCCAGTCAAAGATGAATAACGGACTGTCCCAATTCATCTCATAAACTCCTCCATGCTTAACACCTTTTTCCATGGACCAATTCAAAGTTGGTGTGCCCCACTGCCATCCATCCCAACCCAATCAGATTTCGGTCCCATGCCAGGAACAACCTTAAAAAGCACCCGTAGGCTATAACCAACCAATACCCTCCAAAATGGTGTACGTTTCCTTGGTCAGAAGGGGAAAGCAATGAATCAAGAAATGAGATGGGTTTGAATGTGAACAAAACGTTTAAAATTTTTCATTGGTTGCGCTTGGACCGGCCCGTGATTGAAAAGAGCCATGGATGCTTCATGAAGCTACTCCTAAGACATTTAAAGTGGATCTCACCATTAAAAAACAGCGCTGTTTTGGAAGTAGAATCATAAATGCCAGGATAATCTGTGCCTTGCACCACGTACCGCGAAAGTCAGCCCCAGATTGTCGTATTGGCCCCTTCAATACGCCTATGTTGGGACCAGATTGGAGTCAGGTTGGCCTTTCACTCAGCAAAGACAGAGATTATTTAGACCTTGGGGAGAACCTTAGATCCCTGAGAGGCACTCTCTATATATATATATATATATATATATAGTGTATTAAAGGGGGCTAAATATCACTCACTGTGCTTGAACTTCTTATAAATGTGTGTTAACAATTTTGGATTTTGATTTTGTAACATAAAAAACTCCAAACATTAATTACCAATAACAATAAAGCCATTTGGACCTTTCTCCATTAGAAACTGTGAATTGAAAACTTAAGTGGATGATTGACTTAAAATATTCTCTTCCTTGCCTAATGGATGCGCCATATCTCCTTGTTCTCTCCCCTCTCTTTTCATCAACTCGTTACTCATCACTTTACTCTCTTTCCGTCTTGCCATTTTCCTTTTCTATCTCCATACACCTCTTTCTAATTTACAATCCATCTTAAAATTATTAGTTTTAATATCAAAGTTGACATTATCAGTCAAAGATGAATAAGGAAGTTGTCCAATCATCTCATAAACTCCTCATCTTAACACCTTTTCATGGACCAATAAAGTTGTGCCACTGCCATCATCAACAATCAGATTTGGTCCATTGCCAGGACCAACTTAAAAGCACGCTAGGCTTATAACAACCAATACTCAAAATTGTGTCGTTTCTGGTCAGAAGAAAGCAATGACATCACAAGCAATGATGGTGATGACGACAACGTAATTTTAATTGTTGAAGCTGTTGAAAGAGCACCAATGGATGGCAGCACCTAAGACATTAAGGATTCAATTAAAACAGCAGTTTGGATAGTCATATCATATGGCGAAAGTCAGCGATTGTGATGCCTTCGAAATGCTATGAAGGACAGTATTAGGTTGCCATAAGAAGAGGATTTTAGACTTGGGGGAATTAGATCTCGAGAGCCAATTATGCCCTCAGACATGCTCTTGATATTGTACTCATCACTAGTGGTTTTATTCACTGCCAATGCCATTGGCGAAGACTTATCTGGGTTTGGATTTGAGATTTGTTAGAAAGAAGAAAGAAATGGAAAACACACACTTCGATTTGATTGTGCTAGGAAAGAGAAAATGTGAACAAGAGAGAGGAGAGAGAAAGGGGGCAAAGAGAGGAGCAAAACTTTATGATGTAGCATGTTCGTTAGGCTTGGAAAAGAATATTTCAAATCAATGTTGCATTACATAAGTTTTCTGTCACGTATTTAACAGAGAAAGTCCAAAGTATTTTTATTGTTACTGTAATTAACATTTTTTTTTTTTTTGCGTTACAAATTAAAATGTAGAGGGTGAGTGAAATTTAGCTCATTAGAACAATGATATGTGCAAGTAACTCTTTTCATTTTCAATTGTTTGAAATGATTCCTTTGGACTAGATTTGGGCTCTGAAGGTTTTGGTGACCTTCTTGGTTGCATAAGGGACAAAAAAATTCCACTTCAAAATATGCATTTTGTGGTAAGAATTATCCTTTATCATTTGTTTGTGTTTGCTATAATTTTTTGATGAAGGCTAACAACGAAAATTTGTTTTTCTTTGCTCAGACATTTCGTAACAACCTCAATAAGGTAACCCTTATTTTTCCTATTTTTAATTAATATTTAGTGGATAATTTCTTGTAACCACTATTTTAAAATTAGAACTAAAAATTTTTGAAGATTATAATGACATCCTTTGTAAATGGTTTCCCGTGATGACATGATATTTCTCCAATGATAAGTTTAGGATGAACATTTACATTTACATTGACATTCCAAACCGCAAACAATTATAATTCTGGCCTTAAGTGTTGTAATTATATCAACCGATTAGAAGGAGATATATTTTTGAAAAAGATATGTTGATTTGTGTTATGGCTCAATTGTAGAGACTTGTATGTAAATTATTAAAACATATGTTCAATTGGCCATTTTTTGATAATCTTGATTATATAGTTTTTTTTAATGCAGATTTTGGCAACTGCTTATATTCGACATGAGCCTTGGGAGATGGGGGTGCATAAAAGGAATGGGGTTGTTTATCTTGATGTACACAAATTACGAGAAAGGCCACAAAGTGAATTGGAACGTCGAAGGTACTAACTCCCTAATATCTGTGTTAGCAAATGCATGTGTACAAGTTCTTAGGCTATGTTTTGTGAGAAGGATGAAAAATAAGAAGGAAAGGAATCTATTAATATGAGTTAGATATGTTAATTGGCATGAAAGAAATGTACTTCAACTTATAAAGGTCAAGATTCGTTTCCTTTCGTTTCATTTCCTTCCTACCAAACACAGCCTTAGCCTGCAAGGAAATTGAAGGTTAGAAAAAGTGTAAAATTAATGGTGCAATGGGATGTGGCACGCTCCCTTGTCTGCTATATTCATAGATGCTTACTAGACTAAATTATAATTTAAAGTTTTTGCTCACATTGTCTGTAATTATTTATGGCTAGTTAAATTGTTATTTTGCTCGAACCATGGATGAAAAAAATGTTGTACAATTATTTAGGAAATGCAAACTTGGTGACGTGGGTAATTTCTTGGTGCAACTGTTGGGAAAGTGGGCTCTCTTTTGAAGTAACGTTCTTATGAATTATCTTTTAATGTAACATAGGAAATAAATGTTTTAGTGAAGACTGGGAAGAAATGGAAAGTGAAGCTAATGAGCATGAGAAACTTTGAATGATAGTTCCATTCTGCTAGTTATTTTTGTTGATGGAGGTTTGCCATTCAGATTTAGTTGTAATTATTAATTTGACACGAGCAATGTAATTTGACTAAATGCAGTGGATCTGATTTTGTCGTCTCAGATGTTATTGGGGATATTGTTTTGAGAGCCTAGCCACGGAAGATCCAAACAGAGCTGATGGGGAACGAATACATCATGTAGATGCCAATGTTGAATACTGTTCTGTGTTTAAAACCAAATTAGGTGCTCATCGCATTCTGATGGGTGCTGAAATGGATTGTTGTGATTCAACTGATGATGGGAAAAGGTTTTATGTGGAGTTAAAGACTAGTCGTGAGGTTTGCATGTGTGTTTCATGATTTTCTTATTTTGTTCATTTATACTGATCTTTACTTTTTAATCTTTGCTTTACTTGGATAACATGTAAATTTCCATCTTCTATGCAGCTGGATTATCATACTGAGGAAAGATTTGAGAGAGAGAAATTGCTCAAGTTCTGGGTAATTAGCTTTGTAATATATTCATTTTTCCTTTTGCCATTATCATTGTCTCTGTTCTACATTTAATGATAAATTTTCTTTTGCATTCATCCTTGGAGATTTGCATACTGAATCTCATCAGTCATACAGTCATAGACTGTTGGTGTATAATTATTGCTTTTCAACACATTAGAATGGTTTCATTCCTGAATCCAGATATATTGAAAGGCTTCTCTTCACAATTATTTGCATATTTTTTTTCACCTGGCAGAAGTGACCTTTTTATTAGATCTTATGATTCTAATGGCTTTTCCTTCTGAAGGAAAATGAATATTTTTCTAAATGCCAAAAGTAATTGCCTATTAGGCACCATTTGGTATAAATTATTTTAAAATATATAATTCATTCAAATGAAATATATCTAGAATTCATTGACATATGAATTTTTATGTTTGTTATGGTTGGCATAACATGTGGATTCTGTAGAACTTATGTTTGGTTTAAATTTAGAATTCAATGTCAATATGTGATAATTGTCTAAAATACTCTTGAAGAAAAATAAGGAGTGAAAAATAAAATAAGAAAGAAAATGAAAATGTGAAAGAAAGAGGAGGGAGTGAGCAGAAGAGGAGAGATGAAAGATAGAAAAAGAGGAGAGGGTGAGAGAGGAAGAGGAGAGAGTAAGTGAGAAGAAGAGGAGGGGAGAGGAAAGATAGAAAAAGAGGGGAGGACAAAAAGATAAAGAGGAAGAGAAAGGAGGAGGTGAGTATTATTTGTCATATAAAATTTGTTTATGTAGGTTTTGGGGAATTCATTTGAAATTCCATGAAGTTTGATGGGATTTGATTTAGTTATAATCAAGTTCACATGATTGAATTCATGGAATTGAAATGAACATTTAACAAACCAAACACTCAACTGGAAATTTAATTGAATTCCACTGCATTTCGTAGAATTTATTTATATCAAATGGGACGTTAGTTATTTGTGTTTTAATGGAAGTGTAGAAAACAATTATATGTAGTGAGTAGTGTTGTGAGGTTAGTTATTTATGTTTTAATGGAAGTGTAGCGAATAGTTTTGTGCTGGCTGTTCTTTGTGAAACAGGTAGAAGTCCAATTAGCAATTTGCATGATGTGCATGTGAAATAACTTGACAAAAGAAAGTATTTGAAAATAGTTCAAAGAAAAGCTTTAAATTCTCGATCTTCACCATAGTTTTCCATAAACTTCAAGTTATATTTTAGTGAGTCTCTTATGAGTACACTTTGAATGTTCATTGTTCGGATTCACCAACTATAAATTCACCATGATGGGTAAGGAAAATTCAGAAATGGTTGAGAGTAAACAACTGACATCTTGGGATGGTTAAATAACTTTTACTGACTGCAAGTTGATGGGTTGCTGTCTTCACCTTGGATTGGACTTTGGTTTGTAAATCATTTGCATGTCAGCAGCCCATGTTTACATGATCGTACCTTTGAATGAGGGACTTGATTTTTTTTTTTTTTTTAATGCTAGTTTTTTATTTAGGCTGGATAGGTTCATAGTTTCTCTTTGAAATTTAATTTCAGGTGTCATGTAATCTTGATATGTTTGAAATTGCCATTAACTAACACTATTGCAACTAATATTGTTTCATGGCACAAACAATATCTTTAGTTTTTGCATAATTTATTTTGTCAAAGTTCTACTTTCCTATTTGGTCAGTCTAGAATGTATTTCCATTTTGTTGATGCATTTTCCTCATGTGGTGTTAGGTTTTTTATTTTCCCCTTTTTTTTTGGGTTCGTTCATAGAATTACGTCATGATGACAAACTTGAATGCTTCATCTGTTGCAGATTCAATCATTCTTGGCTGGGGTTCCTTATATTGTTATTGGATTTAGGTAATTTTTTACTTTTATATCATTACATCTTATAGCTTGTCATGCTGATTGTGCTACTTCAGTTTTATCTTTTATCTTGAACTTAGTAAAGCTAGGTTCATGTATTTGGAGAGATTGGATTTTACAAATTAATTAGATGGAAATGAAAAGGTTGTAATTTTCGGAGAAAACTCATAATTGTGATGTCAGTGCTGTAGCTTTAGTGATAATGTAATATTAAGTATCACAGCTTCTCTGTCTCTCCCTTCCACCTGAAATGCGTAAAAATTGCTCTATGCAGAGAGCTTCTTCAGTAAAATTATCTTTTATTTTTCTTTTCTGCAGAGATGATGCAGGTCGACTTGTCCGCACTGAGAGACTTACAACTAAGGACATAACAAACAGAGTAAAAGCAAAGAACTATTGGCAGGTTAAATCTTGTTATCCTACATAAGCACCTCTTCGAATATATGCTGCCAACCTTCCCCACCCCCCCACCCCAAAAAACACCACACAATATATATAATAAACATCAGCAGGGGAACTGGGGCAGTTGCACTTGCACGGTTCTCCTGCTTTATGAGAATAAGCTGGCTATTCGGGTCATGTTGGCATTACAACTGATTGTGTTTAATTGTGTCATTTTAATCATTAGCTGATTCACAAAAACCCTTAACCCGAAAACACGATCCATTTATCATACAGGTTAAACAGGTCAACCTGCATAGCCCTTTAGTCAAAAAATATATAGAAATATAAACTTCAATATTGCTTATATATAAAAAATCATATTTACACGGGTTATAACAGTTCATAATATAAAATTAAATGGGTTATAAGAGGTCATTATCGGGTTAGGCAGGTTAACCTGTTTAAGTCATGATTTGAACTGTGTCATAAATGGACTGAATAGGTTGACCTGTTAATGATTTAAATCGGTTTATGCCCAATCTAAACCTGCCTAACTTTGTGTCATGTCGTTTAAATTGATATGTCTGAAATTATAACCTCTATCTGAGAGCGGTTGTGGGAGGCGCTGCTGGTGATATAGAATGCACATGAAGTTTGGAGCCTCTTTGAAATTTTGAAAAAAACAGTGATGAACCTTTAGCATACTGGTATTTTGCCTTGTTTTTATGAGGATGTTGCTGAATCAAATGCTCTTTTGGTAACTTTGGCAGCCTGCCTTCGGAATGGTAACAAACAAGTGTTGGTAGGGTGGAAAAGTTGTTACCTTGGTCTTATTGGTCATTTCAAAAGATTTGAACTTTGTTGTTAGCCTGTGCTATCTTATGTCCAATGTGCCCGCATTACAGACATTTATGAGACCTATGTGTTTGGAGTCGCTCCTTTATCCTGATTATCATGAAATTTATTGGCAGGGAGGTGTATGCCTAGCATTTGCAGATGAGGTACTATGCTGGCTCTATGGAACAGTAAAAGAAAGTGAGTGCATAAACCCTTGTTTCTGCTTCTCTTTTTAAGTGTTTTATTGCAGTGCTAAAACTATGCTTGATGACAGAAAGAATGTAACCCCGTTTTTGAGTGAGTCAGATTTGTTTTTGCGCTCTTTTCTGCAACTAGTTGACTTATTTTGATTGTGTTGTTCCAGATGAAGATTATATTTTGCAGTTTGCTCCGCCTTACACACGCTTGGAGCTTCTGCAAGCCCAATCTTGTCCAGATGCAATTACAAACCATGTTTTGCAATTGTAGAACATTTCTTTAAAAGTGAATATAGTTAAATTTGCTGAAATAGGTGGAAATTTTTTAATTACATTTTACAAAACTAATTAATTCAAATTTTTATGACAATTACTCTGAGTTGAGAATATTTAGTTGGTGAGATGGAAGCACTGGCCAGGGAACTTGACCAAGGAGCCTCTGTGCAAGTCGCCATGACCATCCTTGTACATTTCTCACACCATCGCCGCCACAGCCATCGGATCTTTATTTTCTCTCCTAACAAGCCAACGGTTCTTCCTTTCTTCGTTGTATTGCAATTTCGGGTTTGGTCCAGGCCAAGTGCATTCGTATTTGTTACTCGTTTTTCCCTGAGGTCTCTTTTGAGGTTGTAGGTTCAGTTCTTTGATCCTTTTCTAGTTTTTCCTATTTTATTGTGTATTTAGTAGTCTTGTATTCATTGATTAGAAAATGGAAACAGTTCATAAACTAATTGTATTTGACTTTTTACCAGTTATAGGATACGACTTGCATGATAGTGTTCGGTCCAAAATTGGTTGTGGATCCAATGGTCTATGTTTATTAGGAGTGTCTTAACGTAGGTGGATAAAGGGGTCGGGGTTTGTTTGGTCTTGAAAGAAGGGGATGAGAATAAAAAGAGTTTAGGAGGGAAAAAAAACTAAAGATGAGAGAGACGAGAGATACAAAAAATTAGGGGTTTGGAAAAGTAATGAGATATAAGGTGACTTGAATATATAAGAAACACGTTTGATTATATCAATTCGCGTGTCGTTTACAATGGAATCACTCTATTTATAAGAATTTTAGGAGTGCAACCCAAGTAAGAAATATTCTCGAATGTACAATTTACATGATTAGATCCCATACCCGAATACCTCCCCTAGAAATGTTTTCTTCTTTTCTTCTTTGGCTATTGTCTACTGTAGCTATTCTGTGTTGTACCCGAGGTCGCTATTGGATTGTCATTGGGAACGCATGGGCACTTCAGGAGCTGACCCTTTTACTGTAGCTATTCTGTGTTGTACCCGAGGTCGCTATTGGATTGTCATTGGGAACGCATGGGCACTTCAGGAGCTGACCCTTTTACTGTAGCTATTCTGTGTTGTACCCGAGGTCGCTATTGGATTGTCATTGGGAACGCATGGGCACTTCAGGAGCTGACCCTTTTACTGTAGCTATTCTGTGTTGTACCCGAGGTCGCTATTGGATTGTCATTGGGAACGCATGGGCACTTCAGGAGCTGACCCTTTTACTGTAGCTATTCTGTGTTGTACCCGAGGTCGCTATTGGATTGTCATTGGGAACGCATGGGCACTTCAGGAGCTGACCCTTTTACTGTAGCTATTCTGTGTTGTACCCGAGGTCGCTATTGGATTGTCATTGGGAACGCATGGGCACTTCAGGAGCTGACCCTTTTACTGTAGCTATTCTGTGTTGTACCCGAGGAGTCGATCTCCGTTTGAATGCGAGGTTTTTGGATAATCAAAGCGTTGGTCTCCCTATTCGCTCAGCTATGCTTCTTTGTCATTAATGTCCTTGACTTTTTGCTTTTTCGACCCTTTGACTTCCTTGGACAGGCAATAGAAGGGTAGGGACCTTGTACTCTTTTGTCATCATCTTCCTCTTTGGTTCCCTTTTTTGACCATTCTCAACGATTTCAAACGTTCAACTGATTAAGCCTTTTAAGCAACTTTGCTTCAATCCTACGAGTCTCCAACTCGAAATTGTCTGAAAATCTTTCTTTCATCTGCTTAAGTGACTCATGTTTATTCGAATCTTCATTTCGGTCGGTTAATCCCCTAATATTCCGGCCGTTTTCGTATGGAAGGAAGCTTATCTCATAATTTTCATTAACGCGTCTCCTTTAATGCCTAGTTCAGAGATCCACTGATTAAACAGTTTCTCATTCTTAATTTCGAATATGTATGAAATTGTCTATCTCAGTGGGTTTTTTCAGTCATTGGGAACCTAGCAAATTCTCCCTTTCGAAATGCAACAAGTGCATATCTCCATTCATTATTTTTGTTTAGTCATGATAGTACCAGACTTAACAATAAATACTCCGAGGGACGGAGGGCTTCATAGTGAGCAATAAGACCATACTCGTTGAAGGTACGAAGACAACGCTTAAGTATAGGGGTCGACCATTCTTAGAATATGATTTTGATTGTAAATTGGCCGATCAAGATAGGATTCTTGATGCAGATCGATCATTAGATGGTAATGAACTTTTCTTCTAATAAAATGTCTTTTTTTCAATATGTATTTCGTTCATTTTTTATTTAGCACTTGAACGATCGATAATTAATTGCTTCTATCTTTTGACGAAATCCAGTCCTTTCCATATTAAAGAAATATATTTTTCAAGTATGTTTCATTAATAGATCCCTTTTCTCAGTCTCTTTCATCTCTGGCTAATCAAAAGATGATCTAAGAGCCAAAATAAATATTGTTCACTCCATCATTCCTAAGCCGATAATGATTAGTACTGTTATCTCCAGAGCTACAAGTGTTGATGCCAGAGCAATTTTTGAAATTTGACAAATTATCCTTTTCTCAGTCTCTTTCATCTCTGGCTAATCAAAAGATGATCTAAGAGCCAAAATAAATATTGTTCACTCCATCATTCCTAAGCCGATAATGATTAGTACTGTTATCTCCAGAGCTACAAGTGTTGATGCCAGAGCAATTTTTGAAATTTGACAAATTATCCTTTTCTCAGTCTCTTTCATCTCTGGCTAATCAAAAGATGATCTAAGAGCCAAAATAAATATTGTTCACTCCATCATTCCTAAGCCGATAATGATTAGTACTGTTATCTCCAGAGCTACAAGTGTTGATGCCAGAGCAATTTTTGAAATTTGACAAATTATCCTTTTCTCAGTCTCTTTCATCTCTGGCTAATCAAAAGATGATCTAAGAGCCAAAATAAATATTGTTCACTCCATCATTCCTAAGCCGATAATGATTAGTACTGTTATCTCCAGAGCTACAAGTGTTGATGCCAGAGCAATTTTTGAAATTTGACAAATTATCCTTTTCTCAGTCTCTTTCATCTCTGGCTAATCAAAAGATGATCTAAGAGCCAAAATAAATATTGTTCACTCCATCATTCCTAAGCCGATAATGATTAGTACTGTTATACTTTCATCAAATTATTGCAAATAAATTGGAGAAGTCAAATTAGAAATACTCTCTTGTCAACCTAAAGGACAAGTAATTGAAAATCTCAGATTTTGTAAACTTTTGAAGCATATATTTCTGCAATGAAATACTGAAAAAACCTCTAAAACGAATCCAGAATTTGGTTTACTCAACAACTATGCTAGGAATTGTACTGTTTCAAATCAAATTTCCTTATCTCCTTGTCTCCCAAAAAAAAAAAAAAAAAAATAAAAAAAAAAATAGACACAACCTGAGATAGAACGGATTAGCAAGGTAAAAAAAAAAAAAAAAAATAGCACAAAACCTGAGATAAACGATTAGCAAGGTACCGTACAATTCATATAATAACAGCCAAACGAAAATTAATTAAGAAAAAAAAAAAAAACTAATGAAAAGCAATATGAAACCAAAAAATTACTCTCTACATTACCGTACAAACAACAACCCAAACACAGAAATTCTTTTATAGAATAATGAACTTTCGCCCATTCCAAGATTGAAATCCAAATATATTGTTATTCATTGAATAGCTAGATAAATCAAATTGAGAATGAAGTGAATTTTGAATTAGGAAAGATGAGTTAAAATTATCATATGCAGAGAGAAGATGAAAAGAATACAGAAGAAGAATAATTTTGTCCAAACTTAAAAATTTGATCTGGTATTAACACTTTTAGCTCTGGAAATATAATTACCCTTCTACTAATTATAAATAGGCATTTTTAAAGTTAAATAATTTGAAAATACACATTTTTCACTTTTCAAGCAACTCACCCATTAATTCTTTCTAAGGTAAAGGCACTAAAAAGAATGGACAAATCCATATATTCATTTCTAATTCAATTGATTTTTATTTCCACAATCATAAATTCCCAAAGTTTTCATATTTCCCTTTAAGTTGCCCTAAAGCCCTTATTTACATAATTTCAGTTATTACACAATAAACTCAATCAAATTCTAATTAATGCCCAAGGAAATTAAATTAAGGAATCAAAGTCCCATATCACAAATCCTAACTTAGTTTAGTCCACATCCAACATTCTAAGTCAAATATCATTTCTCATTCTGTTGGTTCTTTTTGGGGACAGAGCAACGAATCTGTTAGCTGACAGCTTCAATTTTGAATTGTAGGCATGCCAAGCGTGTGAAGTACATCAAATGAAGAAATAAAAGTGTTCTTGGTCTGACTTCTAGACTGTGGATTTGGATCCACGATATATGCTTCACCAGTTGTGAAATTAAAATAAATTTGAAATAGATGCAAATACTCTTTGTTAAAATCAAAAGGAACATCCTTAATTAATAAATTATAAAGCGGTTTCATGATTTTTGAGAAATCCTTGATAAATCTCCTATAGAAACGTGCATGACCAAGAAAACTCCTTACTCCCTTCATTGAATTTGGAGGTGGTAGCTTGTCAATTACCTCAATCTTAGCTTTGTCCACTTTAATCCCTTTTTCTGAGATTTTATGCCTTAAAACAATACCTTCACTAACCATAAAATGACATTTTTCCCAATTCAAAACAAGATTAGAATTCTCACATCGCTGTATTACTAGAGAAAAGTTATGGAGACAAGAATCAAAAGAAGAACCAAACATAGAAAAATCATTCGTAAATATTTCAATGAATTTTTCAACCATGTAAAAAAAAGAGGACATCATACACATTTGAAAAGTCGCATGTGCATTACACAATCCAAAAGGCATTCTCCTATAAGCAAAAGTACCATAAGGGCAAGTGAAAGAAGTCTTTTCTTGATCCTCGGGAGCTATAGGTATTTGAAAATATCCTGAATAACCATCTAAAAAACAATAGTAAGGGTAGCCTGCAAGTCTTTCAAGCATTTGATCAATAAAAAGGTAAAGGGAAGTGATCTTTACGTGTTGCTTTGTTCAACTTTCGATACTCAATACACATACGCAAACCTGTGTTAGTTCTAGTAGGAATTAATTCATTATTCTTGTTAGAAATAAATGTCATACCTCCCTTCTTTGGATCAACTTGAACGAGACTTACCCAACTACTATCCGAGATAGGATAGATAATGCTAGCATCCAAAAGCTTTATGATTTCAGCTTTGACTACTTCCTTCATGTTTTGATTTAATCTCCGTTGATGCTCAATTGTAGGTTTGTAGTCTTCTTCCATCAAGATCTTGTGCATGCACACACTTGGACTTATCCCTTTCAAATCTAAAATCGACCATCCTAAAGTCTTCTTATGCTTTCCTAGAACCTGCAATAACCTTTTCTCTTAATCAAGTGATAAGTGAGAGGAAATAATAATAGGAAAAAAGTTGTTCTCACCTAAGACTGCATATTTTAAATGGAAGTTGTTTTAATTCTCACTTCGGTGGTTCACTTACTTCCTCACCTTTGATGCTTTGATTATTAATGTCACGTTTATCAGTGGTCACTTTATTTTTAACATTCAAGTTTTCTTTTACATAATCATCAATAGCATCAATTCTAAAGCAATCATTATAATCCATAGGAAGCTTACAAGAATTAAGAACATAAAAAACAACTTCCTCTTGACCTACCCTTAAGGTTAACTTACCCTTATAGACATCAATCAATGCTCTTGCAGTTGCAAAGAAACGTCTTCCAAGGGTTAGGGATCCTTCTCTATCTTCATCAATGTCAAGAATAACAAAATCAACAGGAAAAATAAAATTACCTATCTTAACGAGCACATCTTCTACAATTCCTCTTTGATATTTGATTGATCGATCCGCCAATTGTAGAGACATTCTTGTTGGTTTCAGCTCTCCCATCCCTAGCATCGCCAATTGTAGAGACATTCTTGTTGGTTTCAGCTCTCAGTCCCTAGCATCTTGAAAACTTCCATAAGACATAGATTAATGCTTTACACCTAAATCTGCTATAGCTTTTCAAAAATCAAGATTTTCCAATATTGACAAGGATAGCAAAACTTCCTGGATCTTTACACTTTGGAGGCAATTTATTTGGAATGATTGCACTACACTCCTCTGTTAACATTATCGTTCTTGATCCATCGATCTTACTTTTCTTGCTCAGGAATCTCTTCAAAATTTCGTTATAGCTGGGATTTGAGTAAGGGCTTTAGTAAAAGGGATGTTTTTTGAAGCTTTTTGAAACATCAAGAAACTTGAGAAACTCTACCATCTTGTGAATTTTCTTGACTTGTGATTTCTTGAGCCTTTGTGGAAAAGGAACAGGTGGAACATAAGGTTTCGCTTCTTCTTTCTCTTCAAGGTCAATGATGGGGATCTTTTTCTACTCTTTCTTTTTGTCCTCTTTCCTGGGTGGATCCTCCAATTGTTTGCCATTTCTCAAAGTGATAGCTTGTACTTGTTCTTTGGGATTTTTCTTAGTGTTATTAGGTAACGTACCTTGAGGTCTAGAAGCCATCATGTTAGCAAACTGCCCTAATTGAATATCCAAGTTCCTTATCACAGCTTGTTGGATTTTATGATTTTCTCGAGTTTCATTCATGAAATCCATATGAGATTTAGAGAGAGTAGTAAGAAGATCATCATGAGTCTTCTTCTCTTGAGAGGGAAAACCTAGTGGTGCTTTCAAGGCATTGTTTGGATGCTCATAAGAAAGATTAGGATGATTCCTTAACCTATTAGCATAAGAGTTAGAATATGGGTAGTTCTTTCTTCGTTCTTTCTTCCTTGATTCATCACATAGTTGACTTGCTCCAAAGTTTGTGGATTTAAAGAATCCAACATGCACTCTCCAATTCCATGTTGTCCATTACATCTGTCACATGCTTGCATAATAGAATTAATGGAGTTAGTAATCAATAAATTCAACTTCCTCACCATATTGTCCACTTTGGCATTGAGTGCGGTAATGGCATCAATCTCATAACCTCCTGCAGGCTTCTTCCTTTCAGAGTTATTTTGATAATGGCTATTGCCAATCTCATAAACTCCTGCAGGCTTCTTCCTTTCAGAGTTATTTTGATAATGGCTATTGCTTGCCATCTTCATATGCCTCATCAATTTCCTTTCTTTCAAAAGATCCACCAGCAACTGCATCAAAAGTAATATTTATATTAGGAGATAATGCATTATGAAAAGTTTGTACCTTTAACCACTTGGGTAGGCTATGACGTGAGCACTTCCTCAATAGGTGCTTAAATCTCTCCCAAGCTTCATACAAACTCTCTTGATCCTGGTGGGCAAAAGTTATTATCTCATTTCGAAGCTTTTTGGTTTTTGACGATAGAAAGAATTTCGCCAAAAATCTCTGAGCTAGTTCCTCCCATGTAGTAAAACTTCCAGTAGGGCAGATTGTAACCAAGACCTTGCTTTGTCCCTTAGAGTGAAAGGAAACAGTCTCAATTTTATGGCATCCTCAGAAACTTCATTTTGCTTGAATGTATCGCTAATCTCTAGGAAATTTATGATATGGGCATTAGGGAACTTCACTGGGCAGAATTGAGGTGGAAAACGTTTGAATAATTGCAGGTTTGATCTCAAAATTGTTAGCTTTCACCTAGGCCTAGTGGTACTTGAGGTGGTTCCATTAAGAGAAGGAGTTGTGTAATCTCGCAAGGTGCAGACATGAGGTTGATGTGTTTTATTATTATTATTGGGCTGTGGTGGCATAATTTGATGCCCTCCTAGGAGAGGTTCGTCCCCTGTTTCTAAATCATTAGCCATATCTGCTTGTTGTTCTTGTTCGCTTTCTTATATTCTCCTAGTAGCGTTGTTCCTACGAAAAGTCTTTCCAATTTCTGGATCAAAGACTAAGGGTTTAGTTCTACATGATTTTCTTTGCAAAAACACCTGAAATATTATCTAGAAAAAAAGTAAAAGTAATAATAAAAATAAATGTCTAAATTAATAATAGATTAATTAGTATTGATATTGGTAACGCCAATCCCTGGCAACGGCGCCAAAAACTTGACAGGTTTTTTCACAAGTACACGAAATCACAACAAATAATAAATAATGGGTAGAATATCGTCCCACGAAGATTGTATACAAAGTACTAAAATTGTGTTAATCTACTATTATTTAAACATAATAAGGAGAATTATTTTAAGAAAATAAAATAAAAATAAATCAAGCAAGACAATTAGATAAAAAGAAATCAAGGATTAAAAGTTACTAAGGATTTTGTTGATTTTCACTTAATTCTATTCAATTTATTTTTATTAGTTTTTGAATAATTCAATTGGTTTTCAAGTAGGGAAACAACCCTAAATTCACTAACAAGCTCTCTCGATGTATTGTATATCTATTTTACCCAGTTAATTACCTAATCTTCCAATAGCGCAATCAACATGAATTAAATCATTAAGTTTTATAGTTTTGTTTATGGGAATTCATAACCTAAGGGTTGTTAAGTTATGAAAAACTGCCCCATGAGTCAAACCATATAGGCTTTCACATCAATTATTATTCTCATGTAATTTATTATCTTCTTCATATAAAAAACCATTTCTCGATACGTGATTAATGAAATAAATCAATCCAGGGGCGAGAACTTTTGCCTAGAAGGCATTTCAGTTTCAATAATAATTTATACTTTGACAAAGAAAATAACTAATTAATATCTATAAATTTGAAATCGAAAATTAAGCTACATCAAATCCCTAGTATGAAAGAGGGTTTAGTTCAGGACACTTAGTAATTAAATAAAACTCAATTAGACTTTAATAATTTTCGTAAAGAAATATAAAAAAGAGAGTTTAGAAATAAGTTTAGTTCGACATAGTAATTAAATAAAACTCAATTAGACTTTTAAATAATTTCGTAAAGAATAATAAACAAAAGAGAGTTTAGAAATAAAAACTAGTCAACGAAAAGTTTGAACAACTTCCTCGAATCTTGACACCAATCTTGAGCACGTGAAGTCTTGAAGAGAGAAAACTATATAGAAAATAATAGAACAAGAGATGGAATATGACAATTGCATCGACCCCCAATAATGGCTAGTCTCTCTCTTTATATAGACTTTCTAGAATATCTTCGTGTTCGTTTAGGAAAGTGGATCTCTATTGAGTAAGAAATCTTTTTAAGCTAAAAAACGTTTAAGCTTTGTATTTCTTCCCAATTAGGACTCTTCCAGCGTCTAAATAGGATTTAAACTTGATTCGCACATAAAAAAAAGTATCTCATGCGGGTCCATGCAAGCAGCACAGGCTAGAACTGATGTTCTCTACCCAAGGCAAAATCTGGTATTTAGCACGGGCATGCTATTTGGCACGGTCTGGGTGTGCTAGGCTTTGAGTCCCCAAGGTGGTTGCAGCACAGGCCATGCTTGGATGAGCACGTTCAGAGATTGACCAGCTACTTGCAACACGAGCGCGCTCTCTGGCATGGCTTGGGTGAGCTAGCCTTTGGGGGACTTCAAAATAGTTACAGCACGGGCCGTGCTGGAGTGAATGCGCTCAAAGATTGACAGCCTCTTGTAGCACGGGCGTGCTCTCTAGCACGGCTTGGACGTGCTAGCCTCTGAACCTCTGTTGAATTGAACACAGAACGGGGGTGCTAGATAACACGCCCAGGGCATGCTAGCCTTTTTGCTTAGGAACACTCTTTTTTGTATTTTTTGCTGGTTTTCTATAGAAATGCTGCAAATTCCCTAAGATGAAGTGAAATGTGATTCAAGGAAGCTTTAAACAAAAATATAAATAAAAACTAACTAAAGGAATTAAAAATATTAAAAATCCTATTAGAAATTATATTAAAAATACTATAAAAATAACATTTATCAGCCCATTTCCATAAAATCGGATCAGGTGGCGCGCAAAATGAGGAAGTGCATTGCAAAGTGCGTCAGGCGAGCTTGACATGCTTATCGGGCTAGTTTTATTGTGAAATGCCTAGTGACCCAAAAGAGTAAAAATTGTTAAACGCGTGCATTATCTCAACCACGGACCATTAGTCCAAAAACTGGAGCGATCGGGAATCCCAATCCAATCTTATGTTGAAAACAGTTTCTCATCACTAAGTCATTAGGGGCAAAATTTGAGCGTCTACAGTTTGCCCTACTTTGATGATATTTTACTTTTTGCGCAAGATGCCGTAAAAGTGTAAAGTAGACGCACAGGTGAGAAATACTTACCTTATGTTTGTTGAATTGCCCTGTCTAGTTAAGACAGGGTGGGTGTCCATTGAACTTGATTTGTGTTCTTTGAACGGCCTAGATGGATGAGGTGTGCCATTTTAGCGGCTTTGCCGATGTGAGGTGTCATTTTGGCAGTTTTGACTGAAATGCTCCAGTTTGAGAGGTTTATCATTAAGGACATAAAATGCGGAGGAATTGTGCCATGGTGATTGTCGGCAGCTTCAACCGATGTGTGCTTTCTTTGAAGGGCTTAGGTGTGCCACCTGGGACGATTTAGTTCTGAAATGCTCCACTTAGGGAGGTTATCATTGAGGACATGAAGTGTGAAGGAACTGTGCCATGGTGATTATCGACAACTTCAATGGATGTGTGCCTTCTTTGAAGGGCTTAGGGTGTGCCACCTGGGACGATTTAGTTCTGAAATGCTCCACTTTGAGAGGTTGTCACTAAGGACATAGAGTGTGGATGAGCTGCGCCATGGTGGTGGTTGGCGGCTTCAATGGGTGTGTGCCTTCATTGAAGGGCTTAGGTGCGCCACCTAGGACGAATTGGTTCTCCAATGCTCCATTTGGGGAGGTTGTCAATGAGGACATGAAGTGTGGATGAGTTGTAGCATGGTGGTTATCGGTGGCTTCAATGGGTGTGTGCCTTTTTGAAAGGTTTAGGTGCACCACCTAAGATGACTTGTTTCTAAAATGCTTCACTTCGGGAGGTTGTCCTTTGGTTGGTGCCTTCTTTGAAGGGCTTTTGGTGTGCCACTTGGGATAGCTTGATTAGAAATGCTCTATTTTGGTAGATTATCCTTTGGATGAGTGCCTTCTTGAATGGCTTAGGGTGTACCTCCTGGGACAGCTTGATATGAGATGCTCCACTTTGGGAGGTTATCCTTTGGATGGATGCCTTCTTTGAAGGCCTTAATGTGCGCCACTTAGGACGACTTTATCTGAAATGCTCTACTTTGGAAGGTTGTCCTTTGGATGGGTGCCTTCTTTGAAGAGCTTAGGTGCGCCACTTGGGATGGTTTGATCCTGAGTTACATCACTTTGGACGAACCTATAAGAAGCAATTTTGCTAATAGGGAACAAAGGCATTTGGCCGGTTACGATTAGTATTAAAATTTTAAGATTATGCCCAGAGAAGCGTGCACGTTGAAGCCTATGTTTGTACGAAAATGTAAATGTATAAAAATGTGTGTGAGATTGTGTTTTTTTTATGTGAATTTATTAAGAAATGCGTCGTGGCACGCAAAATGAGGAAATTTTACCTGTCGGGGTGAAAATTACCTACGGGCCAGTGATGTTGCCCCTGCTTGGTTGGCGAGCCGTTCATTTAAAGGAAATACCATGAAAGATAGAATGGTGCGCATACCTGTTCCAAGTTTTCTTATGAGCTTACCTCTGTGTCAAATTCCTTTATCTTCTTCATTAAAAGTCCATTTCTTTAATTTTTGAAAATTCATTTACATGATTGAGAATTTGGCGAAATCATTAAACATGTGAAATTTTCCATTTTAAAATAATGACATAAAAGGTTGGATTAGTGCACTTACTTGGCAATCAAGCCTTCTTCCAACTAACTCTAGCTTCCACTCGGTCCCTCTTCCACTTTCTTACTTTCTCTAACTAAAGTATATAAGGTAGCTTCAATTAAACTTTATTCTATAGCGTAATACACTACTTCTAAACTTATTTAGAATTAAGCTTGATAAATTACTAAATTCATTCGAAAATCTCAATTTTCCCCTTAAAACCTTACTTTAAGTACCCAACTTTCTCATGTGCATGAATTTATCAATTTTTAAGCTTAACTCCATCCATTCACTACCTAAATAACTCAAAGATAACTTAGACATAAATTAAGAACACAACCCTTTTTATTCTTGGTTTGGCCGAGCCACTCATCGGCCAAAACCAAGGATTCTTATTATCTTGGTTCTTTAATCATCTTAAAAATCACAATTAATTCAATGAAAATCACTTATTCAACAATACAATTCCAACAAAATCTCTTCTCTTACAAAACTCTTAAAATCACATGAATAAAAGTAAACCCTTGAATTCCATAGCATTCACTACCTAAATAACTCAAAGATAACTTAGACATAAATTAAGAACACAACCCTTTTTATTCTTGGTTTGGCCGAGCCACTCATCGGCCAAAACCAAGGATTCTTATTATCTTGGTTCTTTAATCATCTTAAAAATCACAATTAATTCAATGAAAATCACTTATTCAACAATACAATTCCAACAAAATCTCTTCTCTTACAAAACTCTTAAAATCACATGAATAAAAGTAAACCCTTGAATTCCATAGTCACTAAATCATGCAAGATGACCAACCAAATCATGATTAATAATAAGCCAACAACTCATTTATCAACTTATAATAAATTAAAAAGTCCAACCTTTACCCATGGAAAATTCCCATAAGAAAATATCACAAACCCATATCATCCTTATTGAGAAATAACACCAAATAATCCAAGAAAATGAGAGGAGTAACTAACCTTAGATGATTTCTTGCCTTGGATCATTTTATTTCTTCCAAAACTTGGATCAAATCAAGCTAAACTTCCTCTTCTCCTCTTCTAAAGTTTGATGGCAATGAAAGAAAAAAAGGAAGGGAGAAAAATGTTGGTCTCTAAGAAGCCACATCCTTAACTCCCCTTTAAATACTACTACACTTTAATCCAAAGGTCCAAAATGCCCTTAAAGAATCCTTTATATCTTATGTCCTTAGCTGTCCTTTTCCCTTATTCTTTCCTTTTATTTTACTACTAACTATTTAATTACATTAATTAAGTCCAAAATTAGTCCTAATAAAAATATAACCAACTTAATTAGTCCAAAATTAATTACGTATCACAATTTAATAAAAATATATTCCCTGTTAGGTCACCCATCACCAGTTCTCAAACCTCTTTAACCCAAATTCAAATAAAATTTCATAAATGAATATAATCAACTGTAAATCCATTTATTAGGCATTTCCAATTATTCCAACCTTCCAAAATAAAATTAATTTCTGAAATTTTTAGAATACTTAGAGCCACCTAATTATGGATGTTACAGCTAAATTTTGAAGAGGTGTGAAGTACCATTACCTTTCCATTTTGTTTATGCTTGATTAACTAATCATTTTGCCACACACTTTACGCATGTTGTTGAAGAAGATGCTAAAATGACTTCCTATAGTGGACATCGAATGGGCAAGTATTCTAATGAAATTGCACCCACCAAACTTTTTATGGAAAGGAAAGCTTATTTAGGTTCATCTCGTATCATTAAGAAAGGTTGAAGAAAGGTTTATTTTTGGAAGATAATGGTAAGTTGTCTCTATGTCAAGTGGAAGACTTCATCGATCTTTGTTCAAGCTTCTGACTTTGCGCTATAAGAACCAATAGTTTATTGAGCCATATAGTCCTCACAGATTTAGCAGATACGTGGGTTGTTGTCAACATCTGCCTGGTAACATTGATAGATCATTTATAGAGTATCTTTGGAAACAGTCATATAGCTTTAGGAATTTTATGTTTATCTAGCAAGTGGAGCTAGACTAACTGTTCCTTCAGTGAGACTTGATGGATGCTTTTCATGCACTGAAGCCTATAAAGATTGGCGAAAAACGGAATGGTCTAAAGTTTTTCCTCAAGATGAAATGTCAGATTTAAGACCAATACTAGAATTAGTGAAATCTTCAAAGCCTTCCTGTTTGAAGAATTCGAGCATTGGGACAGGTGGTTGTGTTCCTTTAAATCCTCCACAAGAATCTGTTGTTGAGAAGGATAATAGAGCAACACGAATTATGTTGAATGTTTTGTAGATGCAGATTGGGCACGTTCTAAGGTAGACAGGAGATGGACTGCAAGATATTTTACTTTTTGTTAGAAGAAATTTACTATGTTAGCATAGTAAGAAGAAAAATGTAAACTCTCGATTTAGTGTTGAATCAGAATATAGAGTTGTGGCACAATCTGTATCTAAAGTCATATGGATATATCAGTTATTAAATGAAGTTGGTCTTAACACTTCTTTTCCTACTAAATTGTAGAGTGATAATGAAGTTGCTCTCCATATTGCTTTTAATCCCGTTCTTCATGAATGAACCAAACATATTTAAATTGATTGTCACTTTGTTCGTGAAAAGGTTCAAGAATATATCATCTCAATAGCACATGTTAAGACTGGAGAACAATTATATATTCTCACAAAAGCATTAAATATGGCTTAAGTTGACTATATTTATAACAAGTTGGACATGATTGATATTTATGCCCCAACTTGAGAGGGAGTGTTAAGGAAAGTCAATGTAGAATTATGTATAGAGCACTAGTATTAGGCATTTTCTTAATTAGCCTAGGGTTTGTTTTCCTAAATAGTATAGGTGTTGCTTGTCTATAAACTTGTATTTTCTATTAATTAAATGCGGAAAAATAAAGAATTTCTTCACTAAATTACAATTTAATTATGCTTTTAATAATTCATAAATCTTATCTCCTATATCATCCTAAAGTAATGAATTATTACTATTTTTTCCCTTAGTGGGAAAAAAAGAAAATAGATTTTATTCGCATTAAAAAATATAATATTCTCAATCCATCCATATTTTTTTCTCCAATTTGGGGAGATTCTAATTTTCTATGCCCCAAAGGAAAATATTTCATATTTGTTTTCCTTCAATATTGTCTCTCCCTTTCCAAACAAGCAAAAATTCTTTCTTTTAATATATTTCTCACATATTTTTTTCTCCAAAAAAATCTTCCTTCCAAACAAAGTCTTTACAACCATTCATATATTTTCTCTCTCATAATAATCTTCAGTGTCATATATAGTTAAGATATCTGCATGTTTGGACCCACTTCATGAAGACAACTTTAGCCATTGCTTTCAAATGATTGAGCAATAACAGTAACATATAATACAAGAGAGTTGAAACCATATCCATTTTGTTGTCTCCCTCTTATTCAACACATTACATCTTAAATATTTATTACAACCTTACTATCAGCTTACGCTTAATTTCACTCCAAATAGACATTTAATATTAATATTAATATTAATAATTGAAAATGCAAGACTTGCGTTTGTAAAAACATTCCAGGTTTGAAATGCCAACCAAATCTTCAATTTACGGCAGAGCATGTTCTGCGAATCTCACCATTTGTTCCAGTTTTAACACCAATATTGCTCATCTTAACCATAGACCTTCCAAACTCCAAATTAAAAGTCAAGCCAGCCAATCCTCTGATACCTAAGAAGCGTTGGACAAAGGTTCTTGTGGTGGTATCTGTCCATAACTTCTGATCAGACTCAAGAATTCCTCTTCCGTTCCTCAAATTTGCAAAGAAAGATCCATCAAATCTATTGGAACTACCCGTGTCTAAAGCTATGCGTCTTGAGGCATCACCATTTTGCGGGCAAAGTGTCTGTAATTGAGGAAGAAATGATGGATCGATTGATGGGTCTGCACCATTTCCTGTTGTAGTAAAATTATACAGTCTGTACCTAAAGAATTGGCAAGCTGAGGTTCCTATGGTGTGTCCTCCTATTAACAAATAAAATATAAATTAATATCCTGCAAAATAAGAAGAAAACCAGCCGCAAGAAAAACTTTAAGTTGCAAATTTGTTGTCTTATATAGAATTTTCAACGTTTAAATTTTAAACAATGTTAGAAATAGCTATTTCATGAAAAGAAATATGGTATCTCCTCCCCATTTTACGTTAATTCGTGAGCCAAACCAAACCCAAATATAAGTATATTTTTCACAATTTCCATGTTCAAGATAAGGGGATGGACACAATTCCTTCCTCCAAACATGTTAATAAAAAAAAAGTTGAAAAGCACTGTATTCCATACCGACAAGAGTAACAAGATCTTGAGTGTTGAGACCCAAATCAGCAAACTTCTGTATTTGGACAGCAATGGAATCAGTGAAGCCAGGCAAATTTGCAGCATCAGACGCTGATGAAACCCTTCCATCTCTGCGTCCAGTGGGCACAGCCCAACTTGGTCCATTTGTCTGCATTAATAAACAATAACTAATTGACAATGCATCATTAATAAATTGCCATAGTTTTGCTAAGAGATATGTTATACAGAAATGAAAACGTGCAAACGTGGAAAACGCTGAAATTGACATCAGCAAACAGCATTTGCAGAAATGTAAGGAATGAAAATATAGGAGATTTGTGTAAATTAAAAAAAAAAAAAATAGAGATAGCGAATTAGGTACCTCTAATTCATTGACAGAACTAGGGATTCAGAGATCGCCTCTTAAAAAAAAAATTTGTTAAAGAATCACCCATAAAATATTAAAATTTTTTATTTTGCCTTCCAAAATATAATAAATTTTTTCAATCACGCCTCCTTCAACTGTTAGAAAATTTTTTAGTTTCACTTTAATTTCTGGCTCCATTTGGTTTGGTTGATCTTACAATGTTTTGAGTAAGACGTAGGAAGTGAAAGATTTCGAATTCAAGCCGTTATCACCAATTGCCGATTGTTATTCAAAAGGGGAATTACCATGTTAAGGGATATATGTGTGCGTGTTCTATATTAAAAAAATTATTTGGTGCCCAAATTAATAGAATAGAAGTTTATATACCAAAATGACAGAGTCGCGAGCAGCAAGTGCTAGAATGTCAGCGCAAGAGACAATTCCAGGGCATGCAGCTTCGAGCTGGGTCTTGGCATCATCAATAACTTCATAACCTCTGAGTAAAAGGTTCGGTCCAGCAGTTTTCTCAGTATTAGGTCCATCGATCAGGATAGAAGCATCACAGCCTTGCACGAAGCAATCATGAAAGTGCATCCTAAGTAAACCAGGAGCTATTGTGGGATTGGAATTGAAATGAGCTTGGACTGTTGACCTAACTATGGATTCAGCTCTTGGACATGTCGTTGCATAAAACCCAACGCGAGTGCCTTGGCCCTGTACCACAGTACCAACCATGCAGTTAACAAGAATAAACACTAGTAAATGCATGCCCATTTTTTTTTTTTTTTTGGGTTTTTTTTTGCCTTTTGTAATAAAGAAACAGTACGTGTATCACTGGTAGGCTTATGATGGGACTCTAAGCAATAGAGTGTTTACCTAGTTTTATAGTCAAATTTTGGGGTGAGGATTTGGTCCAAATCGAACCAAATTTTATAAACCAAACTAATCAGGATTGACTTTCATAGATCAAGCCAATGAAAAATAAAATTTTTTTATCAAAACCATGATATTGCACTAGGAGAAAAAAAAACAGATAAATTACAAGAGATTTTTTAAATTTTCATTTTCATTGGTTTGGTATATGAATAAACAAATCTAATCTAATATGATCAAATTGTTAGAGGAAAATCGAATCATAAAATTAAATTGAACCGAACATAAATTCTACAAATAACCGAAAATCCAAAACCCAATACCCAAATTTTCAAAAGAAATAAAATATTTAATATTATAATTTGATTCGGTTACTGATTTTTTTCAACTGAAAATGAACCAAACTGAAATAACCTACATTAGATGACCAAAAAAACTGAACTGAAAATCGAACCGAATCAAAACAATAAAAGGAAAAAGTCAAATTAATGATGAAAAGTAAGCAAAGACGGCTTTGTTAAACTGTAGCTTTCAAAGAGGATTCAAACATTGAGTGTGAAAGTCCGAAATGAGTTGGATGCATGAGAGTATCTTTTCATGCAACGACATGCAACTTGTATCACTAAAGTCTTCGTTCAACTAATGCTTTTTATATAAACTATTAAGGAGAGGACATTTATGGGTTTATTGGTACCTAATTTCTTCTAAAAACAAAACTGAAGCTGTATTCCTCATTTAATTATCAATTTCGTGCTTTGAGATACTCTTTTTAGTCAACAGCTCAAATTTTTTTTTTCTTTTAAAGCAGCTTATGTTAATCTTCAAAGAAAAGTCACAGAAATTAGGCATAAAGATTTGTCCAATTAATTATTGTGATTTGGAGCTTTTAAGACTGTATTCACGTGAAAGTTTTGCATCCCTTTCTCAAAAAATTGACTCTGCTGACGATGACAAGCAAATTTTTGGATGAGCACCAATTTTTGAAAAATGGACCGCATATTTCAACCTTGGTACCCAATTGGCTTTCTCTGGCACAGGTAAACGCCTTTTAGATCTTTTTGCAGCCACTACAATCAGATGTCCTCACTCTTTTTCTGATGGATGCATCTCTACCATCTTTGTATCTCTCCTTGCAGTTGTGTAAATTTGTGCATGTGATTGATTTGTTATTTAAATTGGTTGACATTAAAAATTAAACATATTAAACATATTATATTTTGCGTCATGTTGAAGTTAGGGGCCAAACTCAGCCTTATTTCAGATTTTATTTTTCTTTTGTTTACTTATACATTTGGAAAAGAGTGAAAATCAACGTACCTTGCATGTGTATTCGTTGTATATATTAGTAATTTATTTTTTTTACATATAATATATTACAAAAATAAAAAATTAATCAAATAAGATAAAATTATAAGCATAAAGTATAGTAAAAACTTTATAAGATCAATCAAAAATAAAATTTACTAGGAAAAATAATTAAATCAATGTATTTTTTAAAAAAATTGTAAGTACAAATAATGATAATTAGCACATTAAAAATTATCTTTTATTTTATTTACTTAATTTATAATTTCACATCTACAAAAATATGAAAAATACAATAAAAATAATTAGAATTTGGTTAACAAAATCAAAAAAATATAGAGCATATAACTTCATTAATATCATGTTTATTGATATATATCTCTACGTATCATTAAAATTGTATTTGATTTATTATAAATTTTATTTTTATTAAAATTTAAGATAAAGTTCTTTGCATATGTTCAAACATTTATGTTCACACATGTATTATAATTATATATAATATTATATATAATAATAAGTTATGTATATATAGATAATATTTTGTCCAATAAATTTTAATTAAAGTAATTTTCTTGCTACACAATCAACTTACAAAAATTAAAAACATATAACTATAACTTTTGGTAATAATAATTATTGTATTTTATAAGCCAATATAATTTAGATTTAGATAGAAACTGATATAATCAATCCAATTAAATTACCTTTATTTTTTCAACCAATGAAAATTAAAAAGTCTTAAAGCTATCTTTATCAATCTATAAACTTAGTAAGAGGTATTTTTGTCAACTTTAATGTTCCCTCCGCATTCCTCTCTAATATACATTATAGATAGGATAGATTGAAGGATTGGTAGGAATAAAAGACTAGATAATGAATTCAAATTAAATTATATAAATATAAAAGCTGACTAAATATATAAAAAAACATTAAAAAAATAAAAAAAACTATAACTCAATTAGGAATATTAACTCATTAGAATATTAACCTCTTAGAAATAATAACATTCAAAAAATCGACTTTAACCAACGTGCGTTAGTTATGTATTTAATAGAGTTGCGAATCTATCCTTATGCCATAAGTAGTGAATATGTCAGTGCCAAGCCTGAACTAAGCAAACATTAGCATTAAGTATGAGTATATTTCGATATACTTTAATAAATTAGAACAAAGTGATAACTTTAAATCAAATATGAAATAGACGTAAATAAGATTATAATACATATTAATATATGATTAATAATACAAATGACACTAACGGGTAGAAAATATCGATTCATACAATGAAATTATATTTATCGCAAAAAAAGACATGATTGCAAACTCAAATATATTGATTCTAATAATATTAAAATTTTACTATATAGAAAATATTAAATAATAATATTATACTACATAGATAAACTTCCTATATATAAAAATATATACATAGATAAACTTCCTATATATAAAAATATATATTGGTTCTATACAATGAAAAACGTCCGTTGCTAAATTACAAGGGAAATTATTCACGTTTGTTAACAATTAAAGTTTTTCAATAATAATATTTTATTTTATTTTTTAGTTAAATAATAATAATAAGAATAATTTCCTATTTAAAATTAGATTAAACTTCTTAATAAAATTTAAATTCAAATAAGAAATTAACATAACCGATGAAAATTAAACTTTGTTTTCACTCAATTGCATTAAGAGCTACGTTAATTATGCTTTTTTATTTTATTTCTGCAATGATGTAAGTTTAGGTACTCATAATAATGACGATTGTTGGATTTGTTCATACAATAAATTTAGTGGAATAAAATAAATTATAGTGATTTATTATATTAACAGTGATCTGCTTAAAAGATTAAAGCAATAAAATTTTATTTAGAATAATACCTCTTACTTCAATCCTTTGAAACTTCATCTTATACGGCTAAATTGTTACAAACCATAAGTCGTCCAATTGTTCAACCTCTAATTATAACCACACGAGCAGATAATTGAAAATTTCTAAAAACTGTTTTTAGATAATTATGATTTGAGTAAATAAATCATAATTAAACATTAGGTTTATGTAATCTACAATGCAATAAATTTTGGACATAAATTAATTAAGTCTATACTTGATATTTTAGGTAAAATTATAATTAAATATAAATTATAATTTTGCACTTCATGTGCCAAAATTTATTTGTAATCAAGTCATACTTGATTTGATTTCTCATTTTATTTTCTCATCTATTCTTATGTGTGTGACCCATTAGATTCTAAATATGTTGGCAAAAATATAATTAATTAATTATTAATATCTAAAGGTCAAGAACATTGTAATTAATTAACATGCCATGACTATCTGAATATTTGGAAAATCAATAGTGGTTTGACTTAACCTCATAGTGCATGGTTTACCAATGCATTTAATATCCTTTCATCATCAATGTTTTTTATTTAACAATTAGCCATGGAGTATATTTACTTTGTTAAATCATGTTAGTTCTCTTAATTTTCGGTATTTATCATTTGAATGAAATTCCAAATGCAATTTGCTAATTTTATTCTACTTTGCGCAAGGATTTATTAATCAATATTAATAGAGCACAGTTAGAACATTTTTCTCAAATTTACCTAAGGTGATGAATCATATCTTAATTATACAAGTATCTCCATATAGCTCCTGCTATATCCAATTCTTCATTGCTTATTATACATAAAATGAATAACGTGAATGAAGAATCAATACATAATTACTCTATACAAGATAGCTTGTAGTAATTTCATGTCAAAAGATCGCTTACACAACCATCACTTGAGTATTCTATAGACACATGTAACTCTCCATATGGAATTCTCATATGAGTCAATTTAGTGGACTTGTCTAAATTACAAGCACCTATATGTTAGTTCTAGACATTGTTAGAATAAAATTCTAAGTAATCCTATTATATCTAAATCTGATTCTGATCCTAGTGTATTTGATTATGTATCTGATTCTGATCTTATTGTATCCTATTATGATCCATTTTTCCTTTTTATACATACCTTGTACATATATATAAAGGGTGTTGTATAATGTAAATTACACAGGAATACAATGCAAATTCCTTCTCATTTAACTTGGTATCAAAGTCTTTCTAAGCAATTACTTTTCTTCTTTTTGCACACTTCAAATCTTCTCCTTGAAGTCTTCACACCTTCCATAGCCACCTCAAATGTCTTCTTCCTCTTTTGATATTGTTCATCCCATTCAACTAATTTTAGATGATACTAATTGTCATTCTTGGAAATAACAAATGCAATGGTTCTTACAAGGTCACAAACTTTGGGGTTATATTTTGGGCAGTATCACCAAACCAGTATCCATTACTGCTGACTATGCCACCCATATTATTGATGGGGAAAAGCTGATAATGCTAAAAATTTGAGTTTGGTTGCTAATACAACTTTGCCTAAAATTAATCAGTTGTTTGGTTCTTGCAAAACAGCTAAGGATTGGGATTTTTTGGCAACCACTAACACTATCATTGATCAGAGTTCACAATATCAGATTGATCAAGAACTCCTTCATCTTCATCAGTTTCCAAGTCATTCAGTTCAAGATTGTTATAGTTCCATGGCTATTCTCTAGGATAGGTAGTCTCATCCTAAACAATGCACTTAGTTTAACTATAATGTTG